AAAAGGATAATGAAGGAGAAAAAATCAAATTAAGTATATATTCATTTATATATATTCACATACATGGTTATATATATATATATATGTGTATGTATATATACATACCATGTATGTGAATATATATAAATGAATATATTTTTTATGTAAATATATATATGTGTTGAACTGGTAGTCATTTATATCATTTTCCTGCAACAAACTGTTGCATATGTTCACGTATTAAAGAAAGATAAAGGAATACCTCTTTTTTATTAATAGGGAATAAATGAAAGCAAAGCACGAAAAATGTATAAAACCACCCCTGCAATATAAAATATATTACACGTATATATATATATATATATATATATATATGCATGGATATGAGTATATAAACATTCTCAAACACACGAGCAGGCATCCAAGCGTACATTCAATGCTAAATATATTCATTCATTATTACAGACCGAAGAAATTCATTCATAGCCCCAATAAACCATACCAAACAAAGTCAAGCCACATTGCTTTACAACTTACAGCTTTATAGGGGTAAAGGGATGGATTTAAGTAACAAGATAGGGGGGTGGCAGGGTAAATCATTAATCTTTAAGAAATAAATTTTCAAGACCAACAAAAAACAAAAAAAAAATGTACGCACCTTTTTAAAATGACGCATGCTTTTCTATTTTTCTCTTTCCTTTTAGAAGGACATAAGTTGAATTGATATTATAGTTAATGGAAAGTTTCTTTTAAGATTTTCTTCTTTTTTGTTTTTTTTGTTTTTTTGTTTTTTTTATTAAAGTTACATTCATTCACGTTTTTAGGCCACGTTGTCTCAGCACTTTTTCTCTTTATGGTTTTCTAATGTTATTCGTTCTTTAGTTTATTTTCTGTTTCAATTTTGTTGGGGTGTGCTTTTGTATGTATGCTTTGTGGCGTTTTAGGGGAGGAGTGTGGGAAGGAATAAATAAAAAAAAAAAAAGAAAAGAAAACTTAGGTCTTTTTCAAATTCATTTGTCGAAGACAGCGAGAATAACTTTGCTAACAAAGCAATATTTAGCCCTTTAATTGAGACGCCGTGAAGGGGGCCAGGATTTAAATGAACGCAAAGAATAGGAAAAGTGGCAATATATGGAGTAAGATTTTTGGGTGTTTAAACCGATTTACTGGTTTAGCGTTGTTCACGTTTTATTTCAATTCCTTGAAAGCACTAGACTCTCTTTTTTTGTTTCGTTCTTGCTTTCGAAAACTTTATTTTTTAATTCTTTTATCTTTCGTCCGTTAGAAGTCTTTAATCGTTTTGCGTTTTGTTTATTTAATTACTCAATTCTTGAAAGTTTTAACGTTTTTGTTTTTCACTTTAAATTTTTAATTCTTCATATTTTTTGTGTAAATTACGCTGTTAACATTTTCGCCTGCTTTGCTCAACCGTTGTTGACCATACGCGTTTTCATTAACTACTGAAACAACTGACACAACTGACTACTCCCGCAACACAACAGAATCCTTTTCAGTTTGCTTGATAAACAAATTACGTTTTCGCAGCATTCTTAACCTAAATACGTTTGTAACCACCTTTCTCTCTCTCTCTCTCTCTCTCTCTCTCTCTCTCTCTCTTTCTCTCTCTCTACTGTTTTTCTTTGGCTTTTAACTCTCTTTCTTTTATTTTTTTGCATTTCCTCGCTCTCTCTTCGTTTTTGACATTTCTGTTTTAATTATTATTTTGTTTTACGATTCGTTTTGTTCTGTCAAAATATATTATAGTTGTCAAATTTTATTTACAACTAACTTGCGCCCGCGCGTATTCTAATCCTTTTTTTCCACTATGTTTTGTTTAATATGCATTTCAATAGCTCGGCTCTTTTTTGTTTTGTTTTCCCCACTCATACATAAGTTTGGGAAATAAGTGTGAATCGTTGGCTTTTGTGTTTTTCACTTTTCCTTTGTTTGGTTGGTGCACTTATAAGTGTGTCACTAGTGTCACATTCCATTGTCGCTGCTCGTATTGTTGGTGCAAAAAAAAAAAGAGAAAACTTAATTACATTAAGTTCAAAAGTCAAATGTTTACCGAAAGGCTGAAAATGTAATTCATGAGTAAAACAAAAAAAAGAAAAACAAAAAAACAAAAAATAAGCAAAAGGAAAAAGTTCAAAAATACCTAGAAATGTTTAAGTAATTGTAGGGAGCTAACGTGTGATATATGAATGTGTGGTGCTGCTGGTCTGCTACATTAGAGAGAGAGTTCTAGCATTCGCTTACTTTCATGTCGATTTTGTTCTACTCTACACTACAATTGTTAGTAATTTAAGTGTACTTTCACCTGAGTGGTTCACCGATTAAACGAACAGTACTCGCAATTAATAGGATTAACAAGCAAGGATGTGTCCAATTATAGCTTAGTTTAGGCAATAAATAATAATAATAGAGATAGGCAGAAACAAAGGGAAATAGAGAGATAAATAGATAGATGGATAGATAGATAGACATTGGTTAACTGAAGTTATGAAGATAGACGTTTAGGGCAAATTGTTGCTTAATACAAATTTTTCTTATCCTTCAATCGAAGAATTTTTGTGTTCTTCCAATCCAAGAAACGTTAGCAGTACTAAACTTTATCACTGCCTGTGTAGCGATCCCACTCTTATGATAAAACTTAAAAAAGGAAGCTTATGTAGTTAGAGTAAATATACTTTCAGCGGGAGAATAATATTGTGGCGAAAAAATGAAGAGGATGTATAGCCTGTTTTGGAGGGTACTTTGAACAGAGTATCTTTCAACATTTCTCAAAATAAACGCTTTGTGGTATAAGGCTATCTTACGTTTGTGCGAATGTTTACAACACCCAGAAGGGCTCAGAATTACTATCTAAATTGATCTAAACTTGTCTGTCCCCCTGTCCATCTTGTATTCTTGTTTTCAACTTACATGTTTCAATTTTTGATTTATTTTGATGAAAATTTGGTACACTGGCATATTTTGGCCCAAGGAAGAGCGCTGTTACAAATGGTTTGAGTCGGACCACTTTTTCAATCACTTCCCATATAATACCTTATTTTGAAAAGTCTAGTGTTTTAATTTGAAAAACACTGATAAGGTACTCATAGGTATTATAGTAAGCGCTCATAAGAAGGAATAGCTTTAGACTTCTTCCACATATTGAGGTTATATATAAATATGTTGCAGCGTTTATTAGGGGGGTTAGAAGAATTCTACAGACCTTTCTAGATGCTTGCCAAAAGAGTATCAAGAATATTTTTTGCTACTTAGCAAGATCATTTTCTTTAAAATTCACACAAGAAAAGTCCGACTATCCTTTTGTAGTTCAGATATGAGTTATCGGCAACAATTATTGTGACGCATTGCCTTTTTTTCTTTATTGATTTATTTTCTTTTAATATGACGCTACACATACAGCACGATGATGGTCAGAAAGATGTGAAGAAAAAGAAAAGATAAATAGTTCAGTCCGTGTGCTCCATCGGTAAGTGTTACACCCTCACCGCCTAAGCACTTACTATAACTACGAGCAAGTATTGTGAAATCGTGCTGCGATTTTGACTTGCGAACACTGACTTCGTAGCTGCGACACTTATCTACTCAGCCATGCGGCAGCCTCTTGGTTGTTACAGGATTATCGCATGCTACAATGATTTATGCAGGAGCAATTATAATTAATTTTCGACGGTTGAACATACTTTCTTCTCGATTAATATCATATATATGAGATATTATTGGGCTATGGTCAATTCAAGAGTTCCTCCTGAAGGGCTTGACAATCAAATATCAGATATTTTGTATATTGTATACCGCAATATCCTTATCATCTAAATTGTCATAATTTCTGCGATGGGCTTCGCTCAAAAAGTAATAAGGACAAAACATTGGCCATATTCTCGTTTCTCGGCGAAAGAACACCATCGTTTTTATCGTAATTCCGAAACCGTGCTATAATTGCTATCGCTAAGCAATTGAAACTCAGTTAGACAGGTTAACCGGCACGGGACCACTTTTCGCAAACCTTTTTTTTTTGTTTCACTAACCACACGAAGAATGTCTTTTTTATGTGTAGGCATGGTTGGCATTAGGACCTATTATAGGTAGAGGAAAAAAAGAAAGAGTTGCTGGCCGAAATCTATCTATCTATCTATTGATTGATTTAACAGGTATCATCATGTAAGAGGCATAAGTATTAAATTTTACTGCATGTAGTGATAAATCTACTTTCAATCCCGGTCATAACATGATGCAGAAAAGTATGTCTGCAACTATTTAAGAGCAGCATTTCCCACATTGTTCAGCATCTTCGGACACCACCAATTCCTGTTGCTGTTAAGCGTCTGTAAAATCTTTGAAACTCGATAGTTTTCTTCCTAAAGTAATGAAAAAACAACAGTTATTTTAAAAATCGGGTAAGTAATATGTTGATAAAATTTTAATAGCTTAACCTGTGCTCAATGTTAAAGTTTACTTTCTAGAGCTGTGAAACTCATTCGTACGTCTAAACTCACTCTTTGACATTGATTGGCTGAAATTCTTAAACAAGTGAAGTATGAAAAGAAATCAATTCAAGTCTTCAGTATTGGGTAAGCGATATATTTACTTAATTACAGAATTCTTTTAATTATATTATTATTATTATTAATATTATTATTAATTTCGCCAGAGAAATAAATTATGAGACCAAACTCTTAAAGCACTAGCATCTAAGGCTATCGGCTTTTATTAAAAAATCTACCGCACTTGCGATTCGAACCCACGACCATTCACTTGCTAGTCGAGATTTCTCGCCTTCGGCAACTTAGGCGGATCCTTCTAATTATAAAACAGCTGTGAACAATGAATAAAAAGTAATTCATTGTAGATAGTCCACTTGTTTACGCGCTCGTAATTAATCTTTAAATCGTGTTTAAATTTTTTTGTTTATAAAGTGTTTTTGTTAATAAGCACCACGCCTCATTTACAGTATTTTTTACAATTCTTTTAGTTTATAGCGTTCAATTTCCTACGTATGCTCTACTCACCGGTTTGTGTACTAGTATCAAAAAAGGTGCTCGTGGTTTCTACAGTCATCGTGCCGATAGTACCGTCTATAATCTGGGCACATGAATCACGTCGTCCCCGGTATCTGAAGTTTGTAAGAAGTAAAGATATTTGTGGATTGCGTTTATTAATTTTTTGATTTTACCTCGTCACAATCTCACTTACCTAACGACATCATCACTTTGGGAACTTTGTCTTCGAAAATTACGGCATCTAATCATTTCTTCAGTAGTAGATTGACGTCGAAAACCTCGGGCAATTAATATTTCTTCAGTGGTTGATTGTCGTCTTATGGCAGAGCGCGCACTAGGCTCTGCAACTGGCAGTGCTGCTGGACGTCCGCAGGGGCTGGCATCGCGTGAGGAACTACAACTATTTGCCGACGAACTTTGTCTGCGCAATGTATGTCGTCTGTGTGGACTACTATCGCGCTCATGACTGCGTTCTGGTGATAAATGACTGCGCGAATCTCGTCGACCGTTACGGGTTGCACTGTCGGGACTTAAAGAATCGCGTCTTGATGGGCGACGTTGACCGTTCTCTGCCGGTTCTGGGCTTAAAGCAGGCTGAGAATCCCGTCTTATGCTTCCGGGAATGCAACTTTCATCAAAAGCGGTAGCTTGACGTTGCAGCCGTTGCAAACGTATACCTCGCTCAGGACTGATACCTGTCTTTGAATCTCGACGATTAAGTCGACCGCACTGCGTGGTTGAATCACGTCGCCCTTTGTTAGCGGTGGGACTAGTAGCTGGCGGTGTCACCGAACTGGTAATTATAGTAGGTGGCGGTAGGACCTGACACGCTGAATCTACCTGATTGTAAGAAGGAGTAGAGATTAATGGCAGAGTATCAGAGCCACCGGAACTGGTGGATGGTCGTTGCTCTTGACGAAAATTTGGATATTCAGGAGCAGCGAGGGAATCGCGTTTTTTACAATTAATAGTATTCGATTTGGGAGGTGGCGGTGGTGTAGTGGCACGTCCTAATGAACTGTCGCGCCGACTTGACAAGTTACTCTCGCCAGAACCGTAGCGAGATATCTGTATGAAATCGAGGGCAAAGCACGCACAAAACACCAAATTATACATAAACATGCAATGGATGGATAGGAAACACGAATATGAGAAATGCTCATATATAATGACTAGTGAAGAACAAGTGAACTACTTACCACTCTTTGTGTAGAATCTACTAACGGTACTGTAACTGCGCTAGAGTCCTCACTAGACATTGTATTTTCTCTTCTGGTCCATTGTTTAGTAAATTCAGCTACACTTGACTCTCGGCGCGGACGATTACTTTTTGAACTAGTTTCCGCACTGGATTCGCGACGTTTACGCGGCGCCACGTAGGTGGTAGCTGCGTCTGAGGTGGAAGTACGCCACGGTAAATTACGAGCCAAATCGGCCATAGTTTCGCGGCGATTTAAGGGTGCTTTTGGTGTATGCTGTATGGATTGGGTACTTTGGTGTTTACCCCCGCCGCTCCATTCACGTAAGATATCGGTCAGCTGGGCTAGGGAACTGCGTCGTCGTCTTTGTACGCCTGCATTGGGATTTAAAAGAAGAATTTTTTTTTATGTAGGAATTTTCGGTTGTTATAATTAATACTTACCTGGTGGCGGTGAGGTACTGGGTGGCGTCGTAATCTGTGCAGCTGAATCCCTGCGTCCTCCTAACCTTTGCTTCACTGTTGACTCTTCCAACTATAGCGAAAACGAAAATCGTTGTAGCATTATTAGTGCAACTTACTGAACAAGATTTTTCCATTGAATATACCTGTTCTCTAACTAAGTCATCCCAGCCATTGCCACCCTGCCACACTAGGCCCACCTGATGTGACATAATCGGTAAATTACATACAAAACACATAGCTGTCATTGTCCTGAAAGCAATTAAGAAAAACAAATATTTTAATATTAACGCAAGAAAAAAGATTTTCAGGTTAATGCAAAAAAAAAAAAGGAACAATTCATCGATCACAAACGAAGTAAAAAACTACAAAATTATATTATAATACAATTAGCATACTAACGCTAAAACACGTTAAATAAGCGAACATAAAACATTTTGAAGCTAATAAATCATGCCTAATATGAAAACATTTTATTAATAATTTTCAATTTTCCTCCACAGACAGATAGACGGACAGATGGACGCACATGGCTTAATCGATTAAGAATTTCATATTGAGTGAGAATATAATATATATATTCGATAGCGTCTGTGAAGCTTCCTTTTGGATGCTGCAAACACAAAATGATTGTTCTGCCATCCTTGGGTAGTTGGTATGAGGAAGTAACTCCATCTAGATCGAAGGTTTTTCTGAGGGCTATTTTAGACAACATAAAATGAAATCACTACGGGACCATTCAAATAGGCCGGTTATGTGATAATATTAAAGCAAGAAAACTATTTCACAAACCTACTTAATATTATTATAATTAATTTTTCTTAAAGAAATATTTTTTTGGATAAAAGTAAAATGATCAATACCAACCCAATATCCAATAAATCAACTGAAAGCATCTTTTTTTCTTTCCAAAAAAGGTCGATATTTATTTTGATTATATTGGTAAAGTTGAACATATTATTATTATTACTACGTTCTGTAGGTACTTTCAAGATTTTCTTACCTTTAGTTATACCGAAAGTGAGTCTTGGAACTACGGAAATGTATTGCACGAGGCGAATAGATTTCTTAAGGATCTTGCAATTGTTAATTGGTAAGGTGTCTTGCCATTGTGTTTTAATTTTCAGAGTGGGGCAAGTGGCTCAAGATTAGGATTAACATGAACGTACCGTGGATAGTAGTTTTTTTGTGCCATTTTTCCCTTCAATCTTCTTGCAATATATCTCCAAACGTTCAGCCTTTTCGATTGAGTTGTTCATACCTAACGGTGCGGAAGCCGTAAATTTGGCTGCTACGTCAGCTTGTTCATTAAGTGGCGATGGTATTCGGTGTTAATAGTGTTCCAGTTGAAATTTAAGGAATTATGGATACTGTTTTCAACCGACAGATCATCTGGGATGATGGCTCTGCGAGGACGGTTGAAGAATAACTTTAGCTTCGGTTCTAAATATTGCAATATTTTAGTGTAGGACATGATTAACTTGAACCTGCTTTATGATATCAATCACTACGTAGGCAGGGTCCCAATCATCGGCTTAGAGCTGCCTGTAAATGAAAGCTGCCAACCACTGCTTTGCTGTCTATGACTTGAGTTGGCATATAATCTTTGTATCCTCTTTGTTGTATTCTGACCATATACTGCATGTGTTGCCAGTCGATAAGTGTTATGCATTTATCGAGTGAGCTACTCAATATAGCTCTACACATGTTGCCTACGTAACATTCTCAGTCATTTTGCATTTTTAGTTCATATTAACAGATGGAAAGGTTGGGCGTGTTCTTATGTGCTTGGCGATTTTTTGCTGCCAAAAATAATGGATCGAAGCGTCTGTATTGTGTTTCGTGTGTAATTTCTTGGCTAAAAACGACACCGTATGCCTCAGTCACAGTATTCACTGAGCTCAGCGCCTTGCGACCTTCTCCTGTCTCCAAAATAGGAAAGACCCATGAAAGGACGGACTTTGACGCGATAAAGAGCGTATCGTTGAAAGATCGCAAGGCCATATCGAAAGGCGCATAACAGCAATGAAACGTTAAAACGGTTTAAAAAAATTATTCATAATAATTATGAAGAAAATTTATCTCATCTTTTTTGTTTGTCACGCGAGTGAATTTAAAGCAAGTAAGTCTTCGGAAAATACATTCTAATCTTAGCCACGAGATCAATCGAAAAGATATTTGCCGTTCTGGATAGTGTTGAAGGTGGGGTCGACTTACCTTTACATGCCTTACTGAAAAACATTTCAATAATGAGCTTGATCATAGGTAAATTTGCGGCTCCGTATCAAGATATTTGTGATTAAAGAAAAACGTTTTATAAAAATTCGGCCAGATTTAAAGCAATGAACAAATGAAAAGATCAAAATAGAAACACTGCAAATAAGACGGGAGGATTGAATCGATTATTATATTCTCTAGCGAAAGAGTTTGAAGATGTAGACCTTTTAACAGATATGTCTTAGCCTAGGAGAGTATATATTGGAAAAAATATTATCACCGTTCTCGAATATATTGGAAATGTTCAAAAATCTCCTTGTTAGCCTATATATCAGTGAAGAAGTGTGCGAAACACTTTTGTTAATTGATAGATGGCTCCAAGTTAATGTTCGGTTCCTGTAGTTACACGACTTTATCAGCCGTGTCTCTTTATTTTGTTTTTATACCCACCACCGAAGGGTGGGGTATGCTAACTCTGTCATCGCCTTTGGAACATCTAGAAGAAAGTTTCATGGACGCTCAACATCAAATTCTAAGCCAATTTAGGAATGTCCGTCTCTCCATTTGTCTGGTTGTCGGTGCGTCTATGGGAAACATTCAGAGAAAAACAGAAACATTAGAAGTTCTTGCAGGCAGGCTGGTTTTGAAAACGACCGAAACAGAAGAGAGGACAAAACAGAGAAAAAGGCTCGCAATGCAACATAACCTGAGACCTTCTTTGTTTTCAAAAATAAAAAAAATTGATTTTTTGCTCGTTATTTGTAAACCACACCGAATACAACAATGAAAATTTCCACTTATATTCTATGGATGGTCTTGCAGCACTTGTACAAAAATGGAAAACAATGGCATCAAGAGAAATCCATGCATCCCTCGTTTGTGTAAAAAAAAAAAAACGTGCTATGTTCGAAATGTGTTGACTCAAGAGAAGTTTATACTTAATTGTGGACATGGCGACAAGCTGCGTGGGAACAGAATCCTGATTCGAATAAATATTCTAATCAACTAACAATAGCTATACGTTGTTAATTATAAAAAATACCACAGTTTTTTCATTTCTTTTAAACTATTTCCTTTTTTCTTGCTATTATTATTAGATTTTTAGTTTTCAAGGATTTAAACGATTTGATCTTGGATCTCTTGGAGAAGCAAAGAAAATGTTGTTTGTCCATGCAAGAGATAAGGGAAGCGAATAATCATGACTCTCAAAGAATAATCATATTTTTAATCAGATGGTATGTATACATGTTATTGATTAATATCAAATTCTGAATTGTTCTAGATATGTTTGTGTGTCAATGTGTCCGTCTCTCTGTTTAGTTCTGTGGTGAAGGCGCTCCTGATCGCAAAGATGAAAGGCAAGGTAAGAAATTTAGTGAAAAGTGGATTGATATGTAAAACGGGCCAAATTAGTAAGATGACGCACCCACAGTACAATGTAAATTGAGAACATCCCAGCCCTGTTCGCTTTGCTATCCATTACGCATAAAATACAAGAGACACGCAATTAAAGTTTGGTACGTATATTCTACATAAATAGCAAAAATCACTCATACGCCCAATATCACATGTTATGGAAATGTAGTTTTTTAGTTTTTTCATTAGGTTTTTTTTTTTAAGATAGAGGTAATGGGTGGAAAAAGTTCATTCACACTCGAATATAGTTTGTCTCATCTCTGGAACTCAGAATTTCATGAGAAGAGAAGTATTGCTTCTATAGATTAATGAAATACCGATTGAAACATGCAACGATATGAACAAAGCCCGTATTTGTAAAACTAAAACAAGGGCATGTTGTTCTTAACATTTTATCATTTCGGTTTTTACTAGAGCTTGTGAAGAAGTGTGCGTTTATTTAAAATTGGCCATAAGAAAGATGTGGCTGTGTACTTTTACTAAGCTTTGTATTGAATGAAATCGAAATTCACATCTAAGTAACGTATTTACTTACATTATCTATAAAAAAGTTTAACTCGTTCAACCAACATTTAAAGCTTAAGAGAAAAACAACATAAATTAAGCTTTTCATAAAACAACTTTTAAAAATTTTAACTTTTTTATGTAAAACTTTTCAAGCTCCATAAAAGCTGTAATTTTTTTAAAACATGCAAGGAATTTACAAACAAATCACTTATACGTATATGCAGATTTTATTTACAAATTTGTTCGATTTTTCTTCAATATTTTCTTAATAGGTGCTGATACCCCGGTCGGCGGATGTTCCAGGGCCGTATATTGCTTCCACCGAGCCATGCTGACATGATTTCACATATATTATAGGCTGTATCACGGCAAAAGTTTTTACTTATATTTAGGGTTTCAGGAAAAGCTATGTACGACGATGTTTCTGCTCACGCATCCTTAAGAGCTTTTGCTTTTTTCTTAAATTCGATTAAGTTCTCTCATGCATACACAAATTGAAGATTGGGTAAGCTACATAATTGTTGGATTGGTTGAAGAAATTACTATATTGTGGAGGGCTCTCTAACTACGAGCAATACAGTGGAACACTGATAATATTAATTTGAACGAAAGCACAAAGAAAAGGAAACAGAAGAAGAAGAAGACAAAGAAAAGAGAGAAAAAGGAGAGAACGTGACAGTTTCATGTGTAATTAGTAAAATTTTGTGAAAAAAAAAACGGATGATGAAATATGTGTGTTTCCAAGAGGGCAAAACAAAGCAAGGAAACTACAACATGCAAAATTAAGGACTTAGCTAATAAGATCTCTTCAATTTGCAGAATTATTAAATGCCGTAGATTTCAAATTTCATTTACGTTAAGTAAATAATTAAAAAAACATAATAAAAAGTAAAATAAATCTGAAGAAAACAAGCCAAAAACACTATATTGAGACGCAATCCATCATTAAATACCCTACGCTATTTCGCTTAATATAGTTATTCACATAACGGCTTTTCAAAATAAGATATTACATGGCAAGTGACCGAAGCGGTGGTCCGATCTAAATAATTTTCAATAGCGTGCGTCCTTGGGCAAGAAAACATTTTTTTTTTTTTTTTTTGTTGTTGCATACATTAATATATCTTTGTACAACAAATAGTGCAGAGTACAGGAATAGTTAAAAACCGAAATCCGTCCTTTGCACTTAACAAGACAACGCTATTTTTAGGCAAAATGTGCTCAGAGTTATTCATTAGAGCGAAATGTCACGTGGAAACGTTTTGCTATCAATGTTTCTGCTTCTGTCTAAGAATACTTTAAGAACTTTAAGTGGTTGATCAGTGTTGTTAACTCGATATCTATTGAAAAACAATGAGTTTAAAATAGGAATCTCCTTAAAATAAGCTGAAATGTTCTAATCGTACCAAGCTTAATAACGTTTCATCAAATACAACTTTTCATCTATTCTCGCTACAAAATATCAAAAACGATGGGTCATATGTCATATGAAAACGTAACTTTTATGAAAAATCTTAAAGCACTAAAAGATGGAACTTGTTGCCAAGTGAACGCTTGTTTTTCTTATGCGAATGAGAAAACGGATTAAAAAGTTGATCTCGCCGGATACATTTTCGTGAAGGAAACAAGGAAACAGTTACACTTTCGTTAACGAATATTAAAAAGGGTAAATCTATTTCAGTATACTGCGTTACACAGGGAGTGGCCGCAAAAAATGCTTTGATCTTACGCATTTTCAATAACTTTCACCTGCGGGCTAAAACATGTTACTTTAATTTGCGATCTGCAGATTATACACGCAGAATATATGCGCAGATATCAAAAAGCCAGGTGAATAAACACCGATTAGCGATTCGGAAAATGATACTAAAGTAAAGCGTTTAGTAAAAGATAAGTTTATCTTAAGTCTTATGAGTATTGTACCGATACGCATAAATTTATTAAACTGTTACCTCAAAAGAAAGAGGTTGTAATTATACATTAAGTTTGATATAAGTTTAGCGGAGTAGTTGCATGGAACACCGCTACTTGGCCTATTCAAGTGATTAAAAGTTTATTTATTTTGAGCAGAAATTGGTTCGGTCTGCTTTTTGTAGTTAAAAATGCATTCATAAATAGATCAAAGTATTTCCGCTTCGGTGACTACTATTTTTTCCCACCTCTCAGGCAATTTTCAAATTTCATCTCGTAAAAATATATTAAAAGTCAGCCAGTACTGTAAACCTCGGTGTACAATATTTCATAGTTCGGTTTCGTCACGTCTGCCATTCAGTACGATATTCTCTTGTTAGTCTGCAGTCTATGGTGCTCTTTACGTGCTACTCGGTATCCGGTGTTTCATATCCGTCAACCGGTTCACACTTAACTATCTGATAATCAACACTGTACAGAGTCAGTACTTAGTATCGAGTTGTAGCTTCTTTGCAATAGATAGGCGGACGTGTGAAAGAATCAAAGACAAACGAAGCTTCCTAATCGATCTACTAATATGATGAACATTCCTACGGATGAAACAGAGGAGTAGAATAACTCTCTTTCATATAGAGACACCACGGTTACGATCATTGCCGATTATGACAAAATATGTGATAAATTACATACGCAATTCGTCCGAAATGTCACCTTCGTCAGCGATTTAAAAATTTGTTATTTTAAAGTATTTCTTGCAGAATGACTTTTTGTTCGCCTATTTACGAAACTTCATATTGAAAGTTAACAGAAAACTTGGATCTTTCACGTTAGAGGCTATACAATATAAATATAACATGTCAAGCAATAATCGCAGGTGCTATTAGGGCAGCTAAGAAAGATTTTAGGATTAAAAAAAATAAAAACGTGTTTTATTACTCAGAAATTTTCAAACTAACTACAAAAAACTGAATTTCGCCTTTCTTTTCATAGAGTTATTAGAGAGCAAAAAAAAAAAAAGTAGTTTGATGCTAATGTTAGTATATGTAGCCATCAAGAGCTTACATATTGTAAAAATTGAAATTATTATGCGCTATGAAATTATGCTTCATGCTTCAGAGAATCAGGAATGTTACAAAGGACCTTGTGAAGTGACGTTTACCTACGCAAAAAGTAGATTTCTTAGCGAAAAACAAGCTTGTTATTATGCCGAACTACTCTTTAGACATGGTTTTGATTATTGTTATCACAACTTTAAGATGTATAATGGTATTTAAGACGACAGGTTACACATTTTCAATAGCAAGCACAAGAGAAAAAAAAATGTTTGATCCAAACAATTAAATTGACTTGCGTGTACCGAAAACGGTACATTTGTTGTGGAAATGCCACACGCAATCAGTTCGACACAGTCAACGTATTAAAGCGGAAATCGTGTTAGGAGGTACTATTTCGAAGATTAAAAAATTTCTTTTAGTCCTTTGTTCTTTTAGTTGGAACAATTTGAAAATATTATTGCAAAGTTGCAAGAAACGAAATCATGGAAAATATATTAAATCAAATATTTCAATTTATAAATTATAATTTAAAGTGTATTAAATGTAAGGTATTTTTTGTAGAGTTCTAAGAATTTTTAACGTGAAATGTAATATAATTTTGTTCTCATCATATGACATTTACCAAGGAGAAATGTTTGAAAAGAATTTGACAAACCTACTAGCTACGATTCGTTGACATGACAAGTGACAATTCGTGTAGTCAATATTAAATGAAATGATTTGTCATATGCGTCACTACATTTTTGTAGAAACTAAGTTATCTTTCAACGACTTTTGCGTAATTCGAACATAATGTATACCGCTGAATCGATACTTATGTGTATGAAACATGTATTTTCTTGTTTTTTCATTTCCCGCTAGTGATAATGTAAACGAATCGAATCAATTCCAATAATCAATCAATCACATAAGACGCCATTAATAACTTTTTGATGATAGAGTATCGTATACGGAAAAATTGTTCAAAAGTACAAAAAAAAAAAAAAACAAAGTTTCTTAGAATTATTAAAATCTAAGCAACGGAAGTTGTATTTAAAAATCTTTTAAAGCATACGCAGACATGTTGAGTTCATTAAAATTTCTTCGTTTTCGCCTGCGTTACAATATAGCCTTGCGAGCGGCTTGAATGACCTGAGAAGTTAAGAAAATTCGCAGAAATTTCTAGTTCTTGTCAGTTGAGAAAAGTTAAAGTGGACAAATTAAGTCGATGAGCGCAAAACATTAGCAATCAGTATACTATACCTTTTAACGCTAGCTTTGGCGGAATTGAACTTTCTTCAAGAAACAAAAATAAACGAAAAAAAAAAAAATTTACTTCCACTAGAAGTAAACAAACAATTTGTAAAGTGCTTCATGGAAAAGTACTTAAAATTTACTGAATACAAATTTTCACTAACATATACACTGAACGATAACTGCAGTGAAACGGATGTATACAGGGAGCTTAAAGTACACTAAAGAAATAAATAAAATAATTATGAAAAATGTTAAGCACTTGCGTTAATAAATTAACTTTCTTCTTAAAACTTAAAATTTCATTCCATTTCATAATCAATTTGAAAATTGTTTCAACATTCCAAAGAATCCCTCTCACTATGTGCTGAATAAGAGATACGTTAATAAGCAATTATCCATAAAAAATTTAATTAATAAATCAAATTGAAATGTGGCAAGTACATGTACATATTATATATTAATATATTAATATATTAAATCTACGTCTTCTGGTTATTCAATTAGTCGATAACTTGGAAAAACTTTTGGTTTATTATAATATAGAGCGGCAAAAGTTCATTGAATACTAAAGTAAGCTTAGAAAGAAACACTTTTACGTTAACTGAAAAACGGGGAATAATTTAAGTTGTTCGAAAACAGAGAGATTTGAGGTTCATACTGAAAACAAGGAATTGCAAGAGTTATTGCAAGTGGACGAAAATGTTTATGTATCTAATATATTAAAATCGAGCTATTCAATGCACAAACCGATTAATTTCATTTTTTTAAAAATCTCCAATTTCAGTATCAAACCGCTTAATACAATCGTCACTATTTATATTTATAATCGTTGTCCTCAATAGGAAAGTTCGATACCATTAAACGATCAATTTTTTTTTTTTTTGGCAATTGCATACTAAATCATTTATTTCAGAGACCGGTTTGCTTAACTTCATTCTCTAATGTAAATCGTTGCAATAATGCAACTCATATGCATTAGCAAGCGCTAAATGATAATAATTAAGTTTTTAGTTTCCAAAGATTATCAGAATTAAAGTAAAATAAATTAGTCAGTTATAGTCTAATTGCCGCATGATCAAGTACTTGTGAAGTGTTATTGAATTTAAAGAAATAAACATTATACCGTTATAATGAAAAAGAATGAGACCAACAA